TCGCGAGATTACCTACGGCTTTAAAGCAAAACAGACATAACTCATTAGAGTGAAGGGGCCAAACGGAAGCAAAATTTAAAACTTTGTCCATAGAGCTGTGCTTACATGGCACATCAAATAAACCAAACATATAAACATTAATAACTCACAACGGAAAACAGTACCATAAAGTTTTGTACAGACAATATCATATAAGTCTAAGTGAACCCATCAAAACTATATACAAGTATACACAAAGTCCTCGCCAATATGACAAAACAAGCAAGACAACAAAAGAGCGAGGACGGGTCTCATACGTGAGACGTGAGGGCTGACTCTCCAAAACTCGGTTGTTCCACACAGACTTCACTAGGGCTGGGTCTGGACCTCTCTTGGCTCACCTACAAACACATGAATGAGCATGAGCGATAGCCTAGTGAATAATATCAAATAAGAAGATACAAACAATATGTAGAACAACATACTCCGAACGGCCTTAGGCCCAATTCACATTTTTGTTTAACATTTATATACGCAATTTAAGTCAAGTGACTATGGTTTCCAACATACTGGCCTTTGGCCCATTTCTCTTTCATTCATGTGAAAATGGTCTCTGGTCCACTCATTCATGTCAAACGGCCTCTGGCCCATCCATTCATGTCAAACGGCCTCTGGCCCATCCATTCATGTCAAAATGGCCTTTGGCCCATCCATTCATGTCAAAACGGCCTCTGGCCCATCCATTCATGTCAAAACAGCCTTTGGCCCATCTATTCATATCAAAACGGCTTTTGGCCCATCTATTCATTCATATCAAACATTTGTCCATAATTCAAACTGGCAGACTCATAAGGCTTATAAAGAAATAAGCAATTGGACAAATGACAAATTTCAAATATCGATATTACTCACAGTGATCGGCTTGTGGATTTGCCTTGGAGCTTGACCCTACACATCATATAACACATATAGGTCACAAACGATTCCATCCGCTCTTTAATTCACATATTCCTCTTTAGGCTTCATTCTTATCTCTTTAACTCAATTACAATGCTTAATGCATGCCTAAGAGTGCTTGCAAGTGAAAAAGAACGGAAAATGAAACACAGAACGATCATACAAAATTTTCAGAAACAGGGTCCCCGTTCGAGCGTGGACTTCCCCGCTCAAGCGGCCCCTCGAGGCCTACAAAAGGACTGGATATGTCGAATTTACGCTCGATCGTGCACTTTAGCGCTTGAGCAGACACCATGTCTGCAAGGAAATGCTGGGAGCTCGAAATCCCCGCTCGAGCAGCGGTTCCCCCGCTCGAGCGAACATCAAAATTCTGAGTTTTCAGAATATGTTCTTGAGCTCAAATTCGACATTCCAACCACATTCCTTGCATATTATGGCTCCAATTTCACATATACTTGTATTAACATGGTACCAACACTAAAACACATCAACATAGAGCTCAATTTCATGACTCAAACACATGCATGGCTCATTTTCCACCAAACTCATTACCAATATAACAATTTCACGCATTCAACACTTACACCCTTGTAATTTGCACATGCATGTGGTATATTATTCTCATTCTCAACTTATATGATGAAGAGGTGGTCAAGAACATAATCTTCAACTAAAAACTCACATAGATCATGCATTAGGTGCTCAAATACGCAAATTCAAAGCAACTACATACATGCATGCAACATTGACCTTCAATTCAACATGATCAACTCAATTTCATTTCAATTCTTGTTCTTGACCATTAATCAACTTTGAACACATAAGATTACACATTAAACTTATGAATTCAAGAATCAATTGCTTACCTAGAGGCTCAATTTTTTCCAATCAATAGCAAATTCTTGAATAATCTTCAAGATCACCAGGCTTTGAGCTAAATTGCACAATTCTCTCCCTTTCTCTCTCTCTATAGCCGCCTCTCCCTCCCTCTCTTGGAGCCAAAATCAGCCAAATGATAAGAAGGAGAGGTTTTGAGTGTATAGTGCCTTTAAGGTAAGTCCCACTAATCAAAAATATCAATAATAAATAATTGGGCACTTAACTAATCGTTCTGAATCTAATTATTTTGATCCAAATCAATTTTCAATTAAATCCCACCGTAGGCTTTAAAAATTACGCTAATCAACATGGCGTAATCAATTTCGGGTTCTGTGGCCGATAAGACCTTCAATTTAAATTCCAAAGCAGATTATCAAACAAATATTCCTACGGTGAACAGATAGAAATTCAAAACCACATATTTTCACATGATGGCACACAAAATGATATTAAACACATAATCATACTCATATTAAGGAGCAATTAACATATTACGGAACAGGGATATCACACCACCACCATGTTAGCTCAGTATATTCTACTTGCATGACAATTATATTTTTTTTTTCTTTCCTTTTTCACCTCTACCCCCACACCACCACCATGTTTGCTCAATACATTAGAAGAGCCTTCCAAGTCATGTTATGATATAGATCCCTAAATACAACTCAACAAGTCATTATCGCCTCTCCAGTTTTTTTTAGGGAGATATATGCCCTTTATAGAGTTTTACATCACCTTGATTTGGAAGATCCAAAATCAAAGATACTGGTATTCGCAACTAAAAATGAAAAAGATTTTATAACCCACAATTACTTGCATGACAGTTACAAAATTAACCTTGACAGCTAATCAAGCAATGATTGTTCTGATTATAAGATATTGGGTTTATGAATCTTAGTATTTCATTGTCTGTTAACTACATTGCACCCATTCATCTCCCACAAACGAACATCATTTGTGGAATGGATCTTCTAGTTCAATTTTGTTCTCAAGTATTCATAGTCAATTAGATGGCTAAGAGTTGGTTGACCTCATGTATGTTTCCCCCCTCTTGGTCTAGTTTAATTATTTTGACAAAATAGTTTTGTTATGTATCCAATTGAGGAGTTGTGATTAGTTTTTCACATCATTCGTTTGTTCAGCTTACATATCCCAAAAAAGATAAATAAATAAAAATAAAATAAAATAAAATAATTCAATTGTTCATCATTCCTTCTTCCTTGCTCCCTCTTATTTGAAAAAGAAAAAGAAAAATACAAAGCAAAAAGAAAAGCTGGGTCAAATATGTATGTCATTGTTTTTGATTTGTATGTCATTGTTTCAATTCAATTGTTATTGTAACTTGTATATATACCTTTGAAAATGGCATGTGGCAGGATGGGAAACATCGTATCACCCCTCAATATCTCTATTTGGAAAATCGTGGAGTAAAGAACATATCGGTGTTGTCAAGTTTAAGTATTTTGTCGTTCTCACGACTGCTCCTTGTTAGAACGGAAGATGGTCATTTGAAAATATGTTGTTAGATTGCCTTTGATGTCTATATGTAGTTTTCTTCTATCATTTTGGAGATAGGTTTTTCCAACGATTCTTAGGGGCTGTTTGCTTCTTTCATTTTGTATTGTATTATTTTGTCATTCATATATGCTTATCATTTATTATGTCATGTTGTTATTAATGTAAAACAAATTCAGTTGTTCATCATTCCTTCTTCCTTGCTCCCTCTTGTTTGAAAAAGAAAAAGAAAAATACAAAGGAAAAAGAAAAAGAAAAGCTTACTCAAATTTGTATGTCATTGTTTCAATTCCATTGTTATTGTAACTTGTATATATACCTTTGAAAATGGCATGTGGCAGGATGGGGAACGTCGTATCACACCTCAATATCTCTATTTGGCAAATCGTGGAGTAAGGAACATATCGGTGTTGTCAAGTTCAAGTATTTTGTCGTTCTCATGACTATTCCTTGTCGGAAGGGAAGATGGTAATTTGAAAATAGGTTGTTAGATTGCCTTTGATGTCTATATGTAGTTTTCTTTTGTTATTTTGGAGATAGGTTTTTCCAAGGATTCTCAGGGGCGGCTTGCTTCTTTCATTTTGTATTGTATTATTTTGTCATTTATATATGCTTATCATTTGCTATGTCATGTTGTGATTAATGTAAAAATGCTTGATCAAGAATTGCGAGTTTTAAAGCCCCAAAGGAGGCTTGTTGATGTGCATCTATTCTAAGGTTTTGCTTTGAATTATAGTTTACTGAGGGACATATGAGATGTGAGGGTTTCGGAAAGATGATTTTACTTTGTCAGTTAGGGTATCTAACGAGGGCTAAATCTGATAGTCAAACAATTTGTTACATGGTTGAATTTTACCCGGGACATTGAAGTACTTGAATATTTGCCAGTCCAAGCAAAGCTATTGCACTTCTAGCAACATATATATTGACTGTTTTAATTGAATTTTAAAGATATTTCTATATGAAAATATTGATATCTAAGGAAGAATTATAAATGAGTAGATGGCTAATTTTTGTATATTCTAGCAAAAAAGTAAATTAAAGTCATTGAAATAACAATCACTTTGCTTGGTTCCCATTTTTTAAAAACAGTTTTCAAAAAATTCTACACTCTTATTTTTCGTTTTTTTTGGTTTTTACTGAATTTTTTAAATATTTTATATAATTTTTTTACTTTTTAGACACACCTAACATAAATATACCTAAAAAGTAAAAAAATTGTAAAAAAAATCTTTAAAAAATTCACTAAATACTAAAAATACAAAAAAAAAATACAAGAATTTAATACATTTTTTGTATTTTTATGTATTTCTTAATTTTTTAAAATATTTTTTCATAATTTTTTTACTTTTTAGACACATCTAAGTAAGGTGCACCTAAAAAAGTAAAAAAAAAATGTTTAAAATTTTAAAAATATTTACTAAAAACAAAAAAATACGAAAATCAAAAAACTCAATTTTCAAAAAACTTAATCCAAAAAACTCAAACCAAACACAGTGAATACTCCTACATTCATCTTGGATACCAGAAATGGTTAAAACATAAATGGATGTTTCACTTGGCTTCCTATCCTTTGCAAGGTTATAGAGCAATGACTTGCTTTTGCCATAAAAATTTACCAAAACAACCACCCACAACTTACAAAAAATTTTCACAACGAGAAAAAGTTCAGTAAGAGTGCTACCAAGTCAATCAGTATACATCGTATTAGAATTCAATAAAAAATCCTTCACAAGAAATAGTAAACCCCCACTATTCACAAACTGATCATAGCAGGTCCACTATACAATCAACTCAACCTTCTAATCAGCAGCAAGACTTTCAAGCAAAAGGATTTTAAGAGAAGGGGAAAACAAACAAACAAACAAACAAAAAGCTATCACACAACCCTTGACCAATGCCAGGTGCCCCAAGTGTTGCTGTTTCCTGGACTTCAGCCAGTATCGCACTGTCATCAGAATCACTACGACCATATAATTGTATCTTTCATGTATTGTATGTTGGCCTCAACTTTCTACTATGAAGATGATCCATTAGATTTTGGCCTAGTATACCCCAGGTTAATTAACTTCTCCAGCAGCTTTTTCTCAACTTCAGCCTGAAAACTCCAATAAGAGGAGAAAATATAGATCAAACAACCAGGAACAGGAACACTCGTGCTAAATCATTCATACATACAAATGATTCTGTTGGTTATATAATGCCCCTCCCTACAATCGCTCTAAAAACAAGCCTGTGGACGCAAGGTCAAATGCCATAAAAGACATGAATAAAGTCCCCCCTAACATCAATTGATTTTAGGAGAGATGGTGAAACTTGGTACATTATTCAAATAGGCAGCGCACAATTCCAAGTCAAATGGCTTATAGCTAAACACCACCATGTAAAGCCTAAATATCTATGAAATTGAAAATTAAGCTTAAGCATGCAGTGCATAAACAGTCATAGTGCTTGCTAATGGTGCACACACACAGAGAGAGAGAGAGAGATAAAACCACAAGCATGGGGCTATTCTTTGGAATGTTACAAGCTAGCATCACATTTAGACCTGTCTTCAAAACTGTAAGAAAGATCACAGGTAAGTGCATAAAAACAAAGAATATTTGTATGAAAATTGTTAATTGTAAATCAAAGTTTACCTAATCGATGAGCAATGTCAGATCCTGTGTTATCAGAAGATCCTCCAAGTATGTCAGTAACACTGACAGTATTGTTCTGTACATGACCACCAAATAGTAAGATATGTTGATAACAATTGCTTAATCTATGATCATAATGAAGATGGTGATCTCATGCCATTATGCAAGGACGGGAAGGCCATCAATGTAGGTGCTTTTATCCCTCATAATTCCTTCTTTGCTACCATTAAAATTTGTAAATAAGGAAATTGTGATTTTTGTCACAAAAATAGGTAGTTTTTGAAAGGAATAATAGGGAAACTTCCCTAAATAAAACAACCATGAAATTCAAAAAAGATGGAAGCTTTCGTGAATATATAATTGTTAACTTACAGGTCGGGTAGGTGCGGCGGCATGTAAGCGTCCAAATCTGGCAGAGTTGCAACCAATCCATGCATAGATCTATAGAAATAAAATAAAACAATTGTCATTAATCTAAATGATTCTTGATTTTTCGATTTTACAAACTCTAATCCAGTATCAATTTTAAGTAACCCATTTGGTGATATAACCATACATACAATCCAATTATGTCAAGACATGATCTATGCAGCATTACATGGCATATAAAAACTGTATAATATCTAAATAATCACATAAACTTGCATATTATTTTTCTTTTCCATTTTCTTTATTTTTTTCTTGATAAGTAGCGCTATTTTATTTTTCCGCAGGGAAACACTCCATGTCAATTAGAAAAAAAAACAAAAAACAAAAACAAAGCAACACCCCTTAACCCAAACAAAAAAAAAAGGATCAGACTTGTGCTAAAACAACCTATCCCTAATTAGGTATTATTACAATCAGTCGAGAATAGAAAGCATTTTCACTTATCACAAAATCAACTGAGTATCAGCATTACATACATAGAAACATATTCCAGTTTTGTATTCCCAGCTGACTTTGAAAATCATGGTTTCTCACCTATAACTACAATAATAAATAAAAAATTAAAAAAACCAATTTATTCCCTCTTAAATTTCATATATGCCCTTAAATCTTTTATAACTCCCATTTTCTTTTTCATTTTTCAATAAAATATTACAATTTGCCCCCCTTTAAATGTTTATTTTGCTAAAAAATTACTTAACACAATTTCACATCCCTCCCATTGATGATAATATTTTAAGCACCATAGGAATAATTAATACTAACTATTTCAATTACGAAATTGTGAACATAAAGAGTGACAAAACCTAACCTATTTGTGAAGATGTATGATCTAAAAATGAAGGGTAACATCCTCCAACACCTCAGTGAAGAACATGACTTGCACACCACCACCATCACCATTGTTGGAGTTGATAACCTTGGAGCTTCCATCTAAAGATGTTCCCCCTCCTTCGATTCCCAAACCACCTACTCCTTCCGCCACCACATCAACCAACACTTCTTCTACTCCTACAGCAGACCCACAATTATGCTTCATCGACTCAACATCTAACCCTCCACTCCCCATTTTCAAACACACTTTATGGAATTCGGAGCTTTTAATTGAGATTTTTTTAATGCATAAACTCGAATTTCACTATGAGTTGGGATGAATTGTGCTAGGGTTTTGTGTTTATGTCCTCGTTGCAGAGTATAGAGAGGCCGATATATTTAAGGTGGCTTATTGGAAAAAAAATTTACCCTGAAAAAAAATTTTTTTTTTTTTTTTTAAATAATGATATTAACATTTTTTTTATTATAATACTAATAAGAGTAAGAGCATCTCCTACAATTTTAACTTCTTTTTTTTTTAAAATCAAATTGGAATGAAAACTTCCTTTGATATCAAATACTCCAACAAAGGATTTTGTGCTTTCATCAAAATACCGGTCAACGGGGCGAACGACCAAGCAGATGTCCAGCTGGTTGGCTGCCCAGTGTATTTTTTTCACAAATTTTTGCCTAGAGGTGGTCATCTGGGGGACATCTGGGAGAACATCGGGTGGTAAAAATTTAACGGTTATGAACGGTGATTTGATGAAAGCTCCCATCGTCCTCAATTTGGTGCAAAATTTTTGATATCTTCGATTTCATACTTATTTGATGAAACCATTGGAATAGGAAAAGAGGTGTTTTTTCATCAAATTTAAATTTGATGACAGAATTGATGAACCATTGGAGATAGTCTAAGGGGTTGTTTGGAAAGTGATAAATAAATATATTTTTTAACTTTTTACGAAAAAGCGTATTGAAAATATAGAAATTATGTGATCCAAAAAAGATAAAAAGATAAAAAGGTATATTCTTGTAGTATATGCCAAATAACCTCTTACGGATGTACAGTTTTTGGCCAAAAAAAAAAAAAATTCACTATAAATTATCATATCACTCTTTATTTTTCCGTACATCTTTTCATAAAAAATAAAACGCTAACTCAAATAACCAATTTCCAAATGGGGTCTAAATCATTACCCTTCTAATGAGGGTCGTAGGGATGGTCATTTTCCACTACTCCGCTCCGCATCTGCATCCCGCGCCCTGTATAGATTTTCCTGCTCCGATTAAGAAATGGAACGAGAAGGGATTTTGCTTCCCCACCCCATTCCACCTGAACCCCACCCCAATTGTATTATTAAACATATTTATATGTATATAATATATTTAGTTTTTCTTATAATAAAGTTAAAATACTAAAATATTATACTTAATATTAATTTTTATTCATTATTTTCTGTCTTATATAATATAATTTTCATTAAGTATAAATTATTATTCATAATATACTATATTATCTATAATTTTTTTAATATTTTTATTTTTTAACTTAAAAAAATAATTTGCCTCCCGCTCCGCACTTGTCCCGCTTCCGTTACCCCCTGATTTGTTCCGCTCCTAATATCATAAGAGGTGGAAGCAGATTTTTATAAATCCGCCCCAAACCCGACCCGTGACCATCCCTGAGGGTTGGCTTTAAAACTGGGGCTTTGAGCCTCAGAAATTTATTTAAAAAACGGATTGCGAAATATTTTAGGTATTATACTAATCTATAAAAAAAAAAAAAAAAAAAAAAAAAAAAAAAAAAAATCACTTAAATTTAAAACACCCCAACAAATTAAATAAATATTCAAAATTAATAAATGATTGGTATAGTGAATTATTTAAAACTAAAAAATGATTGTTTTTACTTTAAAAAAATTAAAAAATCTATTGATACAATGAGTTATTCTAAATTAATAAATGGATGAATGTTTCCTAAATTTATAAATTAGGTATAAAATAGGATTAATTATATCAATTATAACTAGAAAAAATTAGTGAAGTCTCTCTAATTTTGGGTAGTAGGAGAGATAAAATATATATATTTTTTATTAGTTAAGATTCTTCAATGAAATTTCTCTGTGATCATACCAGAGAAATTTCTTTATATTGGGGCAAAATTTCTCTATGTTGGGGTGAAATTTTGCTCTGTCGAATTTTCTTTGTGAAAATGTTAAGAAACCCCAACTGCTATGAAAATATTATATTTTCTTTATTTTATAAAATCTGAATGTTAGGGACCTTAAAAAAAATTCTACGTATAATTGTTTCCGAAAAAAAAAATTCAAAGTTAAAATTGATTAAATCTTACTTTTGATTAACTATGTCACAATAAAGATTAAATGGATTAATAATTTTATCCTTTGAAAAATATTTAGTTGACAACTTTGATTAGCAACTTTACAACTAAAAATGTGAGAATAGTAATTTTTTAATAATATTTTGTTACAATTTATTTACTTTTTATTTGGTACTTGAGTTTAAATTATTTTAATCATTTTTTTTTATTATTATAAACTTTGTTATATATTTAAGTAAATTTTATTTGAAGAATAAATAAAAAATAGGCATTTGGTGGATAATCTTTCAATTATAATTTCCTCCCCCTAGATGTATAAAAGGCCCGAAAACTCGCTTTTGGGCCTAAAAAATGTCAGGCCTTGCTTCTAATTTGATGTCAATCATTACAGTTTCACCAACCATTTTCATCTTCATTGTTAGGATACATAATATCAAATTCTTTTTTATTTTAATTTATAAATACAAAATAACTTTACAAAATCATATTAGCAACTGATGTAATTTTAGAAATATATTTTTAATGTCTATTACTAGAAAGTTCCACAAGAATCATGAGTCAGGTTGGGGGGAAATTTTCAACCAAATAGCCTTCTGGCAAGTTGGGAATTTTCCCACACACCAAATCACCATCTAATCCTCTAAACTGGTGGGTTGATTGAAGTATTTTAGGGGTTTAGAAAACCTATTTTCTAAAATCATCATGAACCTTGATTACAAAGAACAAAAATACACAGCAAGATCATTAGCAACTCAAATTAGTTACAGAACTACTGAACTTCGTTAGGCAACAAAATATTCCATACAAACACATACTAAGGGCCTCTTGTAAACAGTCAAAAAAAAAAAAAAAAACAGTTAAGAGATCGAAAACCTATCTCATCGTGGATTTTAGTCCATTTGAAAAATCTATACACATACATGCATACATATAAAATTAAAATAAAATAAAAAAACAATTGAAAAAATTTTCAAAAAATTTACACACTAGAGATGGAGGGGAGCCAGAAGGGATAGATCTGTGAGAAAAATAAGAACTGAGATGGGTGGATGAGAGAGAGAGAGAGAGCACCTATGAGATGGTGATTCCAATCTGGAAGAAAAAGAGAGATCAGTAGCTGCAAACCGCGAATGAGGGCGTTGACGGTGGCGAAAGAGGGAGGGTTAGGTGTCGGGCGTCGATGGAGAGAGAGAGGGAAACAAGAGGAAAGCCGAGGTGTCTGTGTACAGTGGGTAATTATTCAGTAGACACGTAGCATTTCATAATATTGTGATTGGTAGAGAAAGTGAATAGATGAAATATTATGTTGGTGATTGAAAAATATGAAAACATATTAAATGATGATTGGTGAAGAAGTACATGCACATAATATTTTTAAAATATTAAATAATATAATAATAACTACATTTGGTTGAATTTTTGAATCAATTTTTCAAAATTTAAAAGCCATTTAGTTAAGATTTTTAAAAACTTATTCAAAAATTTAAAACTTATTTAGTTTAGTAGAGTTTTTAAAACTTGTAATTTATTTGGTTTAGTATTTTTAAAAACTTATTTTAAAATTCAAAATTTATTTGATTTATGATTTTCACAAAATCGATTTTCTTTAGTTTTACAAATTGGCTAAATAACTTTTTATATTTTAGATGTATATGATCTAAATAGACCTAAATAATAAGTAAAATGTGAAGAATGCAAATAATAATAATAATAAATACGTAAAATATTAAAATTGTATTAATTTTTAAACTTGATCAATTTTTTAAAAAAAAAAATTCATACATTTATCATTATTTGGTAATTTTATAAAAAAGTTACATTTAAATGTAAAACATTTTAAATACATGTAAATTGAGTGGATATAAAACTAGAAAAAGAACTATTTAAAATTTTAAAACGTCCATAAAAAATATGAAGGGAAAATTTGTCCTATAAATTAGATTAAATGTATCTAAAAAGTAAATTTAGATTAAGTATATGAAAAGTAAATAAATTTGACTATAATATTGTAAATATTTTTTGACTACAAGATAAAGCAAAACACGACTCAAAAAAATTTAAAAAAATTGTTTTAAAAACTCGTAACTAAATAAGTTTTGAATTTCAACCGGCCATCGTCCAAAGTAAATTGTGATGGATCTTTCAACCGGTTATCGTCCAAAGCTTTTGCAGCAGTTATCATGAGGGATTCAGAGGGCCATTTTATCGATGGAGTTGTCACCTCTTTCTTCTCGGCATCAGCTTTGCAAGCTGAAGCGTTTGCGGTGCGTCTGGCATGCCGTTTAGCCTAGATTAATGGGCTTTCTACAGCTCAAATTGAGAATGACAATCAAGAGCTCAGCAAATTGTGTGTTTGAAACAGTCCCCCCCCTTGGAGATCATGGCAGTTGTGGCTGATAGTCGCAGCTTTGCAAAGGACAGAGCTTGGAAGTTCTTGTGGACCTGAAGGCCCAACAGCTCTGCTGCTCATTGGGTGGTTGTTGCTCAAGCTAGATGAGCACTTCCTGCAAGTTAGGTAACATGTGTGCCACTGGAATTTGTTTCTGTTCTTTCCCATGATGTACCTGCTCATCTTTAGTTTCTTCTATAAAATCCTTACTATTCAAAAAAAAAAAAAAACAAGTTTTGAATTTTTAAATTTCTAAAAATTATTTACAAAATATACAATTGAAAATTAGTTTGAAAACTCAGAATCAAATAAAATTTGAATTTTCTGATGAAAAAATAAATAAATAAATTTTGAATCTTCTGATCAAAAAATAAATAAATAAATAAATAAATTTTGAATCTTGAAAACTCATGTGAAAACTATTTTTCAAAATAAGATTTAATGGTATATAATGTTATTAATAAGGCTTATTGTTAAAAATTTATTTAAAAATTGTGATATAAAACTTTATATTAACTTTGCATTAAAAAAAATAGAATATTCTTATTTGGTTAGGCATATAATTATTGAGAGGGTAATTTATATGCGAATTGGGCCGAGCTGGGCTCTTATGGGCCTCAGTACGAAGGGCTGTGTAAAGAAGTTATAAAGTTACTCCGGTCTGGGAGAGGCTTAAAGTTAGCCCGGTCTCAAGCCCAGAAAGTAGACCGGTCCGAGGGACTCTTGATGTTAGTCCGGTCGAAGGACGCTTTGTAGTTAGACCGGTTTAAGGATGCTTTGAACTTATACCGGTCATGGCGCAGTGAAAACAAGATCGGTCTAAAACCTTGATAAAAGATAGTTCGGTTTTGGGCATACCATGGTTTGTAGAAAACTATGGGCAGAGAATCGAACTAGGTATAGTTTGGCCAAGCATAGTCGTGACTACTTCGGTCGTATGGTAGGTCGGCCACGGAAGAACCATCTTACTTGGTTGAAGCAGTGAGGGGGGTGTTGAAGGATAAGCATTATCCTTCAGGAGTATGAATCCTAGGGGGACTTTGCATGGAGGAGTAAAAGTCCTACTAGGACTGTGCCACGCAAAACCTATAAAAGCTCACAAACATCACCTATGGAGAGGTAACACACTTTTGATTCTTGAATACACAGAGCTCTTGTCTACTTGTCTATTTTGCTGACTTAAGCATTGAAAGGGTTTCCGGCACACACCCGCTGGCTAGCTCACGTTTGTGTTTTCAGAAAGTAAAGCGACGACGTTTGGAGGAGCGCAGACTTGATCAACAGGATTATACGAGAAGGTTTATTTCTGTCTCGTACAATTATAATTTGGTTAATTTAAAATTATCTCTTAGAGTAATGAAATTATTACAATTAATCCCATAATTTTAGAAGAATACAAGTTTTGAAATTTATGAATGTTGAAGTAAAAAAAAAAAAAAAGGAGGTTAATAGTTGCATAGGATATCGTATGTGCAATGAGAAGGCACTTTTTCTCTTTGACAACCAACATATACGAGTTTGTTTGGTTTGTGTTTGTAGAGTAATTTTTGAGATAAAACGTCCGAAAACTTGTTTGGTTTATTTTTTTTCATAAATAGTTTTGGAAAATTGTTTTGGGGAGAAAGTTTCAAAAAAAAGTGATTGATTTGATGTGTATGAGAGAGTGAGTGATTTTGGAAAGTAGGTAACCAAACAAAATTTTTAGATTTTTTTGAAAAAATTTATTTGGTTTGATTACTTTTGAAAATTTGTTTGTAGAGAATTTTTTTTAATTTTTTTTTTGAAAAACAAACCAAACAAGCCTTACATGTTTCACTTGGTTAGCTTCAAAGCTCTTGACTCTAAGGTCATGTTTAATTCATAAGATTAATAGTGAAGTATTAATAATCTTATTAAATTAGTATGGTATTCACTATCCAATTGATTAATAATCTCACCCCTGCTCCATTACTAATAATCCTACAAATTTGTTGGATTAATCATCAATTGGATTAATAATCCTAAACCAAAAAGTTAAAACAAGCATAGGATAATTGGGCCTACGGATTAATAATCTCAATCTCATGCTCTAATCCACCCAATCAAACATGCCCTAAGGGGATGTTTGTTTGGACAGGCTGGATAAGGGAGATTATAATCTATTGGACTATAAGTCTTGGGATACATTGTCCCTAGACTATTTGGTTAGACTAGATTTGTATCCTATGTTTGTTTAGTTATGAGATTAGATGTCTAGATTAGACTTTTAGTGAATCCAATGTTTGTTTGGGATATTATGAAAAAGGATAAATGCTTAAATGACTAATTTATCATTTTCAATTATTTACTAAATAATAGCAATATTAAACATAGTTTTAATATTTTAATTATTTTTAGCTAGATTAAATAAAAATTTATTTTATTTTATTTTTTGCACAATTAAATAAATTTATTTTTAAAAAATTAAATAAATTAAATATAAATAAAAATATACGTTATTTTTTAATTAAAATTTTAAATAAATTTATTTTAAATAATAATAATAATTAAATAATGAAATAAAATAAAACATCTATTAAAATTTAAATAATGAAATTAAATAAAATATAAACAAAATTTTAAAATAAAACATCAATAAAATATCTATAAAAAAATATTTAAAAAAATTAAATAAATAAAACAAAAAATAAAAATTAAATAAAATTATTTTATTTTATTTTTAAATTGAGACATTTAAATTTTTTTAAATTTTATTAAATATAATACATAATAAAATATTAAAGAACAAAAATATAATTTCATTGTCTAATTCCTCTAAGATGAGTTATTCTATAATTTCTATCCCAATCCTCATAAGATAAGATAGTCTCACAAATATGATACTATTATTCCGAGAAAACTATCAATCTAAAATAAAACTTTTGAAACAAACAATGAATTATTAATCAGTGAGACTAATAATCCAATGTTATGCCCTAATCCTTCGAAAACAAACACACCCTCGGACTCTCTCCTAAAGCGACGCAACAACAGAAGAGAAGGGTCCAATTCCAATACTCCAATAGGCACCGTTCCTAGTTGAAAAATGAAAGATTTTTGATTTTGTGTCTTCATCTCTCTGAAAATGGAAGATCAAATGTGCTTCGACTATCTTCAACGTCGAATTCGCTCCAATTTCTCTGATAATCTCACTTTTCCAATGCCATCTCCGATTCTTCCTTTCCTTTCGCCTCCACCGTCGTCGTTCAGGTTCATCATATTTATACACTCCACCACCACCAAACTCATATGACTTCTTGTTTATACATGAATTATTATTATTTTTTATATTTAATTCGTTTATTTCTTTTGTTGTATCGATGTAGATGTCAAATTCTAGTAGCGAGGCTTCATCTGAGTTCATATTGGTGTATCTACCTAGTGGCTAATACGATTGCTTGACAGAATACATGTATGTTACTCGATTTGATATGATTTACCTATGCTATGGCTTTCTATGATTTGCTGTGAATTTTGATACGATGTGATTCCGATTGGACTTGGATTCTTTTTTCCAGTGATGAGCATTGTCCGGAAGATCTTCAAGGTAAACACAATGGTGAGAGTGGTGACACAATTGCATCAGTGATTGATCAAGATCAAACTTGTTCACTAGACACTACATTGAAGGAAATCCAGTCCACTGGTGGTAGAAGAACATTCCTGGATGGGTTCGGATGCAAAAATTCGACTTGTAACTTTGCCAGTCGATTTTCTTGCTTTAGGACAATCACTTCCTTGGCTCCAATTGCTCAGGTTGGCATTTCATCTTACTCCTTGTCTGAAGAGCTTGCTTCTAACTATTTTTCTAGGTTTGCTGAAGGCCACGTATT